ACGTTGCCTCCCTCTCTTTAAGCACACAAATTCGATTTCTTTTCTTCCCCCCTCCCCCCTGGTCTTTTGAATCCCATGGACGAATGGTTAATCAAGCTGMCAATGGCGACACAACTCGAAGATTGTCAGACTGCAATAAATCTGGACATAAGTCTGTATAAAGCSTCTTACGAAGGATAAAGTTTATAGAATCGATGAGCATTAAATAACTAATCGACGTGGATCGGAWTAATCYTTGAAATCATCGTAATAGCAATACTGTATTTATGWGCCATATTCACACAATATCTCCTTAAACGACTTCTGAAATCAACAGATTCTTATACAAGAACTTCCAGACCTTAAAAATCACATTTAGTGTGTTTAAAAAGCCATTTCTGTATCAAAACACCTGGCCATCTTGGCTACGGATTTCTAAATGCCCGTATGTTTACAGAAAAAAAAATTAGTGACTAATTAACTAGTCCCCCTCRCACRTCATCTCCCTCATCTCYCTCCTATAACTCTTCGATTGCTTSGCAATCTTCGAGTTAAAAACGATCAATGTGTCTTTCAGGCAAGAAATACGACAATTTTGTCAAAAGAATATCCGTGTTAAAAAAGATAATAGTTTTTCGCTTTAGAGATTTCCTACTATTTGATTGAAGTTTGTATGATAAAGTTTATTAGCTRTTTTTAACTGACCTTGTCTTGTAGYTCTTTTCAAAAASGTCCCTTTCGTTAGTTCTGGATGTGCATCTTGCTAAACTAACTCTCGGGTAGTAATACATGTAGGAAACACACATTTCGTCTTTTGTAGATAATCCTCCCTAATTTAAGAAGCACACGGTATAGGCGAATAATTTGTTTGCATTTCGGTTCATTAGCATATGATTAGCATAAGWCTACACCGTTTTAACCYAACTATCAGTAAATCAGCACTGAATATTGAAACAGCATGGCACAATAAGCTTTCCACGCAATTTTGAGCTTCCCATATGGTATATTTACGTCAAACGGTTTAAAAAAACTCAAATTTAGCATCTTTGAATGCTAATATCTCATAAACTATTGCATGTAAAGACGTCAAAAGGCTTTTACGTTATGAACTGATTCTACAGTTTTTCATTATTTAAACTTTATGCTTATAAGCAACATTTTGTAAACAAAGATTCGCCTATAAGTGCAAGTATGGTTCATATAATCGACTGACATAGGCTCGACCAGATTCACACTAAGAACACAACCTCTTACACCGTCTCACACTTGCCACAAGCACAAACACAAGTGTAAGCATAAGAATTGTAAAATGTTTACTTTTTTCTTCTTCTACTGCTTCTTAGTGTGAAATGTCAGCGATCTGATAACGTGTTCAAATGAATGCGCAGGAGGAGCCGACGAGTTGCTGGGAGAAACATGGTCAAGAATATCTGTTCTTATGTCCCAGCCACCTGTAAGTCACAACTTTTTGCCAGCGAGAAATTTAGGAAAAAAGAACTCTACAGGCAAGGAATACTTTTTAAGAATCTTTGCCAGGAAAATAAAAATTTCCTAACTAAAACAATATAAGAATGTTTTGACCATAAAAACGTTATATAAGCCTTTTTGACCTTAAAAACGTTTACCAGGAACAAAATTATTTTAAAGAAGGAAGGGCGCCACATTTGCTTGTGAGATTGTCAACAATGTAGCTCAAAATCCCTTTCCCAGGAAAAAATTCGTGCAAGAACAGTTATTTAGAAGAACAGATCCTGTTAGCTTCTCCTGAATGCGGCGAGCTGTTGGTTGCACCTACCGTTGTAAGTTTCTTCCTTCCTGAAGAATCATACCGGCAATACTGCACCATGTGATCACCCTAAAAATCRCAATCGCAATCACAATTTCAATCCTAAGCATAACAGTGATATAATGATATCTTTATTTTTTATTCATTTGCAAAATAATTTCTATCACTATATTTTTTAGATCTAGAAAAAGGAGGAGCTAGAGAGGGGGATGGACTAGCTACCAAAATCATCTTCTCCTTCTCCTTTGGATCTTCGATATGTGGGTGGGTRAGAAGTCAAGCAAAGCCTAAACTTAAATTTACAATCACTTACAATACGATACAGAGTTTAGCACRCTCAATGAGCTCAATYGCAAAAGATAGATAAGTAAKTYCCYTKKTTYSRAWTWMYYTTT